CTTTCATAAACAACACGCAGCAGGTCTTAACCACCCAGAAAAAAATATCACTAATTCACCTCTACCAACTTTAGTTGTCAAAATCTCTCAGTAGGATTTCAGGATTATGCAGCAATCCTTGCTTTTGGAGCCTGCTATTCCATACTGTTCTCAACAAAACATTAACAGGATTCTACAACTGGCCTTACAACAACTGAGCAGCTGCCAAGGAGTCTTCATCCTAACCCTGATTCTGGACTTAGTCTTCTTAGTCTTTATCTTCTGTTTTCTTGAGTCTTAACTCCTACCATAACCTTACTTTTAACTATGAACGGATGATCCCTGCTGGCCTCAAAACTAGCTGGTGACATGTACTTTCACCTTGCTTTGCAGAAGCCAACAATAAATCCAGCTCTTATGCCTGTCGCCTATAAAACAAAATCCCCCCAGTTACCGCCCTTTAGGGAACTGGGCATACGCTAGGATCATGGCTGGTATGAGTAAGGTAAAAATGTCTAGCAAGTTCTGTGGTCGGTTTTGGGTTAGGATAACCTTAACCCTAAGGTTTACCCTAAGCCTAACTCCTACTTTAACGATATTCTCATATCACCTATTGAGGAGTAACCATAAGTCATTGTGGTTCTAGTATCTGTGAGCCTTAATGGATCTTAAGACATCTGTGACCCAAGCATTTGTCCCCAGCGTGCCCCAGAGTCCTCTGTTTGCTCTCCATGGCACCCTAGAGCCCTCCGGTTGGGCTTTGGTCATCTTACAACCCCTCTGTTTTTCAGCGTGCCACTCAGCCCTCTGTTAGTTGTTTGAGCCCAGCTCTTCAGTCCACACTCCTCTGAAACCTAAGCGCAACTCCTAACCGTTGTTTGAGGTGAATAATTATGGAATGAATTTCAGCTGGAAAGCGGTAATGACCGAATGACCATCAGGAAAAATTGCACTGCCTGAAAGTGCTGCCAAAGCTCATGCCTTAGGGGTTTTTGTTATGACTTGTGTAAGGATATAATTAGGTGATCTGACTCCCAGGTACACAGAGGCTCTTTTATATACTGGCACCTGTATTACCTGTATTGACCACATAAACCCCTCTAATTTGGTTTATAAATCCTAGGTTGTTGGGTTGTGTTTAAAGAATGATTTGAGTTCTTTTCAGGTTCCCTTCTACTTCCAGGAACTGGAGATATAAGAACATGAAATTATTCAAAGGCTCAAAGCAAAATAATAAAAAGATAGCACTGCTAGCTTCGTACATACAGGATATTTGAAAGTGTTAGCACATTCAATTTACATCCATTGCAAAGCTGCTCTGTCCCACTAGGTTAGTGTCAGAGAGAAACGTTCTAGGATAAATTATTATTCATGTCACATCTTGCTGTATATTCAGTTTAGATTGAAATTAAGAGAGGATCCATATTGTCCATCACATCTTTATTGTTGATACTGACTTCTAGTCCCAAGATCTGTTAGGGTTCCATGCTTTGTTATTGTAGCCCACTTGTTCAAGGTCTTAAACCAATTCAGAAATAGCCACTCCATCTCTTGGCAGCATCTGATATAAACACTCTAACAGTCAGCAGGCGTGGGATCACCCTGTGCTATTCAACCTTCCTGTTACTCCTGAAGTCACCAAGGATAAGCTGTGTTTGTGACCTATTCCCCTCAAGACCAGGTTTCGCTCTGCTGCCCTGGCCATGTAGGTGATGACTGATGGTGCCCCAGGGACCAGTCATGAAGGAGGTGCTGTGTGCATGGGAGAAAGTTGTCACAAACCACCCGCTCCATGGAGACATGGAGGCCAGGGCTTCCCTGATTTTGGATTGTGTTTGCGCAACAGATTGGGTGGGCTACAAACCCACGTACCTGGTCAATCTTGAAATGTTAATGTATTCCTGCAATTACTCTTCTCCTTACTTGTATGCATATTTCATTTTATGGGAAGGGAACAGGTTTTTTTTCTTTTTCGGAGGTAGCTTGAAATTTTTGGTCCCCTAGCTGTTGAATGTAGGTAGATTACAACTTAAGCCAACAAAAAGCAATTAGAAGTTGTTTTATTTCACTCTGTTTCTTTCCTAATTTTATTCTGACCCTCCCTTTGGGGTCATTTATTTCTCACATTAGTTAGTAGTTTTTCCCATTTGGGGATTTGGTAGTTTTAGTGAAACATCTAAAGGAGAAGACCAAGTAAACTCTCTCCTTTTTTGGCTAAGAATGTTAGTTCTGCTAATATCTGAATATAAAAACAACCTAATACTTGGGGCAAAAGCAGGGGACATCCTCAGGGGACTTTTCAAAGAGTTTATCTGCTCGTAGGCCTGTTTGAACTTTTCAGGGGAGACTGTTTAAATCTCAAGAACAGATTTTTGGTTCGCATTGCTGGATTTTTTTCGGTAGAGTAATCTCAGGATACGGTTTTTACCAAGAGGAATGGATGTGCGAGACTAACGCAATAATGTGGCTATTTTCTTTGCTCTGTGGTTTCTTTCTTTCTGTCCATTTTCTTCATTCTGTGAATTAGTTTTCTTCCTTCCTTCCTTCCTTCCTTCCTCCCTCTCTCCCTCCCTCCCTTCTTCTCTTTTTCTTTCTCTCTTTCCTTCTCTTTCTTTTTTCTCACCTTCTATCTTTTCTCTTTCTTTCTTTCCTTTCTTTCTTTCTTTCCTTCTTTCCTTCCTATCTTTCACTCTCCCTCTCTGTCCTTCTCACTTTCTCATTTTAACAAATGTAAGAAAAATTTACAAATCAACTTGCATTATTTTAGATGGCATGTGGTAGCACAGTTCTAAATTGAGATTTTTCCTTCAGATCTTATCATCTGCAAATAGATTTCCTACTCACTTCACATTTGTTTGTTTAAACTATGTCTCTTGGTATTGTAGCAGCTCAGGACAACTTTCCATATACTGCCATTCAGTTCCCACAAGAGTTAACTCCCAGGCTTTCAGCTAGATGACTTGCCAGTTACTGAGTGATGCCATTTGAAGCACAGCCTCAGATGATGAGCCTGGGGCCCTTTATTTGGCATGCCTCAGACATCTGGAGCAATGGGAGAATTGCACACTTCTTTTTGAGGGAGTCATGGTCAGAGTCACTATTTGCTCCCCCTCTTACCAAAGGCAAATGGTTGGAGAAGGTAGCCTTCAGCTTCTTCAAGGAAGTCCTTCAACGACTTCAGGGAAATCTGAACAGACCATGGATGTATCTGGAAGAAGAGGATTCTTTCCATTCTCATCTCTGAATGCTCTCATGTGGGAATGACCTTAGTAAGTCCAAAACTTTTTCCTCTTTGTTTTACTCTCCAGAGAGAAATACTCCATTTATACAGAGATACAGATCAAGAACTTTCTTGAGTCTTTTCATACTTTGAGTCCTTTTTTCATACTTGAGTCTTTTCATTCTTTTTTTCCCTTCCTATTTGTTTTAACTCTTGAAGTAGATAGCTTCTACTCTCCTTTTCTCCTGCAAAGCTTTACTACACTTCCAGCAGCACAGTGTTTGAGCACCTTCTCTCTGCAGTTTTTGCAGAACACTGCTTTTGGGAGGCTTGCCACTCATTCCGGTCATTGCATTTACTTGTTGCATTCACACTCACTTCTCTACCACATTTCCAGCTATGTTGTTTGTTCCCTCCAACCGCGTCTCAGACGGTGGCATGGTCAACATGCAGGTGGGATCATCATTAACATTTTTGTGCAGGTTCAAATGCCAGCAAGCCCTGAGGCTTCCCAGGTTGTTTTTAGACTGTGATGTCCTGTCTTAAGAAGTTGTTTTGAACCCAGGAAACCCAGGGCTCATGAGAGGAAATTTATGACTGGGGTGTATGGCTCTGTTTAAGTCATCATTGCAAAAGTTGCCCTAGTAAAACTTCTTTACCTTGCATTTGACTTTGTTAACTGCTTGAGCATATGGGTAAATTCTCATAATGGCATGTTAATGAACAAGGCTGCTTATATGGATGAACCAAGTCAGCTGGGCAAGCTTATTGTCAACAGTCCCTGTTAACATCAGTAAATCAGCAAGGGTCCTGACTCTGTATCATCACAGGGGCAGCTGGGAAGTAAACAGGGAAGGGGGCATGAAATATTCCTATGAACATCAGCTGAAGCCAATGCTGCTAATTCTCTGTTATGAGATAAAAGGAGACATACAAAAGGAGAACTTGTTCCATAATTCAGCAAAACAACAGTTAAAACCATTATAACAATGGCAGGGGACCTGAACATCTACTCCTTGCAATGGGTTGGATTTGTAATGTTTGCAGGATATTTGCAGTTGTGCTAAGTGTTCAGAGTGTGTAACCATGGTTAAATTATATTACGCTACGATAAATGACACTTAAAGCTGGTAAAAAATGACTGTCTCAAAACAGTGGCATTTTGCCTTCCCTCCACCTCTGTACTTGGAGGGAATACAGTGCTGAGTAACTACATATTATTTTTACTTACTTAATTAAAGCCCTTCCTGGAAAAGTGATGTTGGTATCAATTTTTTTAAAAAACAAAAAACTTATAAGCCAAATTCATTTGAAATACATATGTTTAACTTAGAATTCATTAGCTTCATTACTCATTAGCTTCAGGGGGAGCTGAATAGACCTGTCTGGGATGAATATAGGGCTCTAACAAGAACCACCAATGCTATCTGTGACCACTACATCATGAAACTTGCAATGTGATGGAGACATTGCTTGTCCAAGAGCTCTTTGAGAGTACCTCTTTAGCTGCGGTTTAGCACTTACATGCTGAACCCCATAGAGAAGAAAGCTCAGGATTTCTGCTAGCATGATGGGCTTAGCAATCTTTAACGCTGCCAAGAGTAGTCACAACTGGGTTTCAGCTAGCATCAGTATATCAAAGCTGGTTTTCCTTTTGCTAAGGCTTTCAGATATGGCCAGAAATTGAGGGTCCACAAAACAGAAAGAAAAGGGGGAGGGGAGGAGCACACAATGCTCACAGTATATTTTTATACATATTTACAGAAGGAAGAGCTGTGCTATCCAAACTTGAGCTTTCCCCATGGATGAGTCAAACATAACGTTTCATCCCAGCGAAGGCACAGAGAACATCTCAATGCACAGAAACATTTCTACACAGGAAAGGGTCTGGGAGATATTGACCCCACTTTGGGTAATTATGATCATCTCCTTCCTGGGTTTTTGTGAAAATGGAATTGTCCTCTGGTGCCTCTGCTTCCAGATCAAAAGAAACCCGTTCACTGCGTACATCACACACCTGTCCATTGCTGATCTCTCCTTACTGCTTTGTACATTTATTCTGTCAATTGAGTACATTGCTGGTTTTGGATTCGCATATGGTTTTTACTATTATATAACCACCACACTATCTATTGTCTTCCTTCTTGGATATAATACTGGTCTCTATCTCCTGACAGCCATCAGTATTGAGAGGTGTCTGTCTATTGTTTACCCCATCTGGTACCGATGCCACCGGTCACAGCACCAATCGGCAATTGTGTGTGCAATTCTGTGGACTCTGTCTTTTCTGATGACAGTAGCCGAATACTTAACATGCAAAGATGATTCAACGAAGGAACAATTTGACGACGGTAACCATTGCCAAGCACTGCTTATCTTCACATGGATCCTGACTTTCATGATCTTCATTCCTCTAATGATTCTGTCCAGCCTGATCTTGGTTATCAGGATTCATCGTAACTCCCTGAGACCTCATTCGTCAAAGCTCTACATCATCATTGTCGCCACAGTCATTGTCTTCCTCATCTTTGCCATGCCCATGAGGCTGTTGTATCTTCTGAATTACCACCACTGGTCATCTTTGCTCAGCCAGCAGAACCACGTCACCGTTGTTCTCTCCACTGTTAACAGTAGCATCAACCCCCTTGTTTACTTCTTCGTAGGAAGCAGCAAGAAGAAGAGGTTCAAGGAAAGCCTCAAAGTCGTTCTTAGTAGAGCACTCGCTGATGGGTTGCGGCCGAGAAGCCAGGAAGTTGGCATGAGTTTGGATATAGCTGAAACAATTTTCTAAAGGTTAGGGGGGAAATTCTAGGGGCAAATAATTGGACTTGGAGGTTTAATAAACCACTGCAAAACTAAAAGCATTTTTCTTCCATAGAATGTAAAAAGCAGTGGTGAAATGGTACTGTTATCTTTGGTGGTTGAGCAATGGAAAAATATGGACTAGAATAAAGATAACTTTTATTTGTATTTTCTTAATTATTCAAACACATGCTACATCCTGATGTGACTATGTCAGTCAAAGATACCACAGTGGAAAAGAGACAGGCCAACAGAGAATATAAAAAAAGGACACAGAAATATGTTATAAATAGTGTGACATTTATACAAGCACTGAGCACCCATAAATGCTATTGAAGTCATCAGGGCCTGTGTGTATTTGCATTTTTAAAAGTCAAACCCACTAAACGCAGGACTCGTGTTACATACTGGGATTTAGTTTCAACTGTTTCCAGCTTGTTTAAGTGCGCAAAAGAGCTGCTCCCTGGGGGAAACAGAGGAAGAAATCCACGTATGAGAGTAAGTCTCCATACATACCCAAAAACATATGGTGTAGCTTTGGTCTAGCAAGACATTTAAGTGTATATGAAATGGTCAAGTTCTTCTGTTGTTAACGGGCTACTTCAGAGTCTGTTTTCAAAGTATATGTTGTGTAATTTGCAGTGACATCAACATTTCTCTGGGTCCTTGGATAATTCGGTACCTGACACACAGGAGTAGCTGGCAGCATAGGGATGTTGTCAACTCACAGAGGGCTTTTGCCCTAATTATGAAGGGTGGGGCTGCCTCATCCCCAAAATGTCAGTGTTCCTGTAGGTTTAGTTGTTCAAGGAGTCTATGAGAAACTCAGTCCCAACACTTGCTGTCCCAGCCACATCCTTATTATTTACCTGTTCTTTGGAGAACATATATTCCCCATGTGGTCTCTCTGCTTTATAGCAATCAGTTTTGGACAAACAGAAAAAAAGAAAGGTGCCTCACAAAATGTACGACTGGGGCTACACCCCAGCCACCCCGTTCCAACTGACTCCCTCCTTCTGTTGTATGCCAGGGTACCGGGGCTGTTATTTTGTGCAGTTTAATTCCCAGGACCGCTTGCCCAACTATAGCCAAGCTGCAGACCACAGAGGAAGACAACAGCAAGGAGGGGATGGGGCTAGGTCAGGTATCACACAGACACAGAATATGGGAGGTCAGGGCAGTCAGAGAGCTGTGGCACTTTCAAAGAGATGTCTGGGAGATGCATTTGTCTCTGGCCCCCATGGAGCTCCAAATTCAGCAGGAACTGAGACCTCCTGTCACAGGCAGAAGCAGCATCTTCAGCTTCCCGCCAAGTTTCCATTGGCACACTTAATAGCTAACTGGGGAAAGAAAAATACAACGTACCCCTCCTTTGTTGAAAGATTGCCAGTCCTGGAATAAGGAATATGGTAGGTTATGACTGAGGATTGGATGGGAATTCACATAGAGAAGAGATCTCAGAAGGATAAATATTCCTTCCACACATGTGCCCCTTTCTCCTTGCATTAAAGTGTTGCAGTGTGTCATTGCAGAAAACACTCAGGAACAGGTTACCCTTTTATCTTCCTAATTACCTCACTCCATCAAAACCTTTATCGATGACAGCCCCTCTACTTGTCCCAGTTTTTGTCTTTGAAGCTCCAGTCCCAGGCTAGTCACCTCTATTGATTCAGGTGGTAGATGAGTGCAGTCTGCTTCTGTCTTAGGGCAGCGATCTCCTGTACTGCTGGAATGACAAATCAGCAGAGCAGCTCCCCATTGTCGGTGAGTGGACATGGCAAGCAGGTCTGTGGACACCCTGGGATGGTCAGGGGGAATGAGCGCGTGTGATGTCCACATACGTGTGGCACCTGTGTGCATGCACCCACTGGGGGCTGGGGAGCTGACGGGGAATTTGTCAACACTGATAAATGCCATAAACTTGAATACTAGAGTAGATAATAGCCCAGAAAAACCCCAGACTCTTCTCTAAAGCCATTCCCTACCCCTACCTCAAGACCCTTTACAATAATCACATGGAGAACCAGGGAGAGGGGCAAAGTTGCAGGAAGCATGTTCAAAACATGCTTCCACTGTAACCATGCACGTAACCCAGTTCTCTCAAAGTGATACAGGTGAGACAAGGCATATTATTTACAGTGCTTAAACATGCCCAGATTATTATGACAGGTTTGGGTTAAGGATCATTATGCATGCAGCCAGGGCAGTAGATCTGAAGAGGCAATAATATGCAGCACAGCAATCTGGATGCTCGTGAGCTGAATAGGTGCTCTAGGACTTTTAGCTTCTTACCCGTTTTCACCTGTGTCTGGCTGTGCCCTCAAATGTTTCAGAATTTGGACAACTGTCCATAAATCAGTTCACAGAGCAGACAAAATTAACATTCAGACTGAGATGAACATCCAGAAGGACGAATAAGAATGAGCAGCTAGCAGCTGAAAAATGATTAATCTTTCCCAGTCCACAGATAAAAATATCTTAGGGATGTTCTTTCTTCTTTATCACGGCACCTGATGACTCTTCTCTGTGCAGAGAGGCTGTAGTACAAGGGCAACTGATAAGCATATTATTCCATGATTTAAAAAAAAAAAACCAGGAAAAATGTGACACTCCATTTGTTGCACAAGAATGTGATTCTTCACCAGCTTGCATTTTTAAAAATTATTTGCATCTGTGGGAGAGGGTGAAATAACCATGTGCAGATCAGGTGGTGTTAATAAGCACTTTATAGTGGTGCAGAACAGGAAAGATTGTCATGTGGGTAAAGTACTAGCCATGGAGTTTAGAGATGACGGTTCTGTTTTAATGCAGTCTTGGCACCTAATTTTTCTGTCCTTCCCTTTCCTTCCTATAAAATGAGGATTATTTTATGTTGTTTCCAGTGTTGTGCCTTCACATTTACACTATAGACACTTCAGAACAGCAGCTCTCTCTTGGTTATGTCTTGTAATGTCCAGGGCAATAAGGACTCAGTTTTGCTGTGCAGTCAAGACAAGGAATTGTTTGAGGAAGAAATGCCTAGTATAGTGCTTACTTTATTATAATGCTCTTTACCACACTTCTGATCTACTTGATATTAATGAATGTTGTGGGATATAAAAGTGTGCTCAGAAATGCAGAGAGGGAAGTCACTTCCCTCGGCACTGCACAGAGGTTTTTTGCTGTTGTAGCTACCCCTTGGGTGGAAAGGATGACATGGGGCAGGTTGCTGTACAGGTTCAGGTCCAAAATGATGCAATGAGTTTATGCAGCAGCTTTCCTTTATAACTCATAGACTTTGTGAATGATCCTTGTAACAGCAAGGGCAGAGGGGTGAGGAAGAACATACTACCCAGTTTTACTTCTAGCCTGGAGCTTAGCCCGGGAAATCCTCTAAGGGAAGCTGAAATACTTCCCAGTTGTACTGTTTGCTGACGTAGAAGAAAACCTCCCCTTGCTCCCTTTCCTAGCATGAGAACAATCTACAAGGGCACAGCATTTCCTGGTATAAAGTCTCAGGTCGCTTTCTGAGGGGAGGATAGAAGGGACATTTCAGTTGCAGGGTCCTCCAAAAAATCCTAGACAGATCTCCAGCAAGGTCCCAGGTAATTTCATCCTCCGTGAGCCTGTGATGCTCAGCTCTGTGTGCATCTGGGAGAGACTCCTTTCCAAGTCCTCCAGCTGTGCCAGTCTCAGGGGGAAGGTGATCCACACGCTGGCTTTTGTGGACAGAGAGGTTCAGTACAAGGGATCGTACATGACTCCTTGAGTTCCCCGCATCATGTATGCCTGATGAGATGGTGCCCAGAGAGAGGGTTTGAATCCTTAGCTGACTTTCATCCTCTACATTCTGCAATTCTTCCCCTGCTCTGCTTTCTTGACCTGCAAATACCCACAGCCCTTAGCCTCTTATGCTAGACCTGGACTGCGTACTCCAGTCCTGGCGGTGGGGTGTGCAACCCTTTGGTACCCCCAGTGGGTATCAGGGTGAAACCTAGCTGTGTGCCCACCTCTCCTTCCCCAGCACTGTCTGGTTTCCAGCAGAAAGGACAGCTGCTGCCTGCAGCTTTCAGTTACCCCTTTAGTTCGAGCAGCGGCATTCACAGCCTGCTGATGTTGCAGTGATGATACTGGTCAGCAGAGGATATTCTCTGATGGTACCGCGGTCAAGGGAAAGCACGAAATCAGTGCGAGCTTGTGTGTAGCTGCCACAATATGCTGCCTGCCATGTGTGTACTTTGCTGCTTCTCTTCCTAACCCCGTGCAGAAATCATTTATTAAAATCCAATACTCAGGGCTTCTAGATACCTATGCAACAGGAAGGCAAGTTTGCTTTCCATTTGGTTGCCCAGGCCCTTATGTGATGTCCACGTGGAATTATTTTGCTCTTCCAGTTGAGTCTTACAAGCCTAAAAGATAAAGCACCAGGATCCACATTCAAAGAAAAGTACTGTAGGTGCAAAACTCCGAATTCACAGAAGAGGTACTGAGATGAGGTAGCCTGCATGATTTTAATACTACTGCCTTGCATATAATCATTCAATTTTTAATGATATGATTACAACCTATTTTTTCAAAACTGGACTCTTGCCTCATTAAATACACAGTCTGGACCTGCTGCTGGTATAGTAGGCATCTCTCGAATCCTTGCTTCAGTTGTTTCAGAAATACAGAGGGTAGAAGAGGGAGTGGACGTGGCAGTGTACACCTGGCCCCAAATCCTACCTCCAGCAGTGGTCACAAGCAGATGCCTACAGAGGAGAAGAAACAGGGCAAATACATATCACACTTCCTTCTCATCCTCTCCGAGCCTTCAACAATTATCAGCTCAGGAACTTCCTGGTCTAGAAATCTTTGTATTTGGTAACTTTCAATGGATTTCTCTTCAACAAATACATATGACCTCTACTGGAAGCCATACAAGTTTTTTCTGTCTTTGACACTGTTTCACAGCTTAATTAAATATTTCCTGAAAAGTATCCTCCTTCAGGTTGTTTTGAGCTGCCACAT